ACTTTTTATGCGTTTTTTGCAGCTATGCAATGCAGAAAACGCATATTGACGACGGATTGTCTGTGTATGTATCTGTGTTTGTGTGTGTGTGTGTCTGTGTATTCGTCCATACCGATTTTTCATCTCGAGACCTACGAGAGCTACGGGGCTGAAATTTTGGGAACTTAATCTGCATGCACGTACAAGCCCCATCCCCAAAATGGGTGCTCTTACCCGCGTGGTACCCACGTACGAACCTCCCAATGTTTTTTACGGGTAAGCTTCTAACTCGGAAACCAGAAATGCTGGGAGGCTGAAATTTGAAGGGTACGCTCCTCATCCAAGTAGGTATTAGGGGACTTAAACCCAGCCCCCGGGTAAGCGTGGTATTCACGTACGGGCCCGCTAAAATTTTTTTCGGGTAAGTAGCTAACACAGAAATCTGAGAAGCTAGAAAACTGGAAGTTTGAAGAGATGTTTCCTAACAGTCCTGACTGCCAGTCTGAAATTCTTTTAACCAGAAGAATCTGCCGGAATAACCAGTGCCGTTAGCGACAAAAATCTGTGGGGAGCTATGCAAAAAACGTATCTTCGCACGGGCAGTCCGTGCGTTGGCCAATTATTTATTTTTGCTTTCTCTTCTACGTTTTTTTTTTTCGATTTTCTCCATTGTTTTTTATGCGTTTTTGCAGTGCAGCGCTACAGTGCTACAGCAGTCTGCAAAATGCACATATTATTTGATTCGTGGTGTGCCTATTTATGTATGTTGTTTGTGTATGAATGTTTAAATGTGTGTGCTTACGTATGTGTGTGTGTGTGTGTGTGTGTATATATCTGTCCGAATATTTCGGCTCTGCAAACAGGTAAGCTTAGGCGCTAAAATTTTGCCTGTTCCGTACTCAAATGTAGAGCCAAGAAAGTGGTATCAACTTTCATGAACATCTGATTTTTACATACCAAACGTGGGAGAATTAGTGACTCAGAAACCAGAAAGGCTTAGAGACTTAAATTTTAAAATGATGTTCTCTGTTCATGTGCGATCCAAAGGCTTTAATTCAGTTCTTTGGTGCGCTCTCTGTGTGTTATGTACGGTTACGTCAAGATTCTCATGGAAAAACCTTCCAGCTCAGAGATTCGTCACTCTCTCTCTCGACATT